GGGTTCCCTGGAACGTTGACAGGGGTTCCGCAAGTGATCACTATTTGCTCAGCCAAAACGCACGTAAAATGGAAATCATCTATACAAGGAATTTTTCATGTAGGAACGGGGTAGTGGACTGTCTTATTTAGATAAAAATTACAATATTAATATAAATTGGATATAAAGTGGCAGTTGATTTTAAAAAATAAATATAAATAAATATTTTATGGATAAAATAAAATCTTGAAATTCGGTAAATGTCAAGCGCTTCAAATACACCAATCAAGACGCACGACGTCGCATATTAGTTCTGTTAATCTCATTCAGTCTGTTAAATACAATCACGTACAAGCGAGTATTTATTTTGTTTTTATATCATAATTGATAACTCTTATTATTTATTTACAATTTAATTAGACTACCGTAGCAATAATGGATATGTGGTTGAAAACTGGTAAGCTTCATTCCACGGATGTGGGAACTAGTTTCGCTACTACTGTTGACAATGAACCAGACATTAGTACCGAAAAGTTGTCTGGTGATTCGGAGTTACCCATTTGTAAAGAGCGGAAGTATAATGAAGAATACATAAAATTTGGTTTTACACGGATTGGTGATAAAAATGAACGAAAAAGGTTACGCGTTGAATGAGAACGTGTGATGCGCAATAACGGTTTAAATCCCGCAAAATTGAAAAGACATTTGGAAACAAATAATCCAACTTTACAAAATAAAAATGTTGAGTATTTTAAAAGAAAATGTAATGAGTCGAAGAATAGAAAAAAGACAAAAAAGTCCTTTATGAACTTTGTTAAAAACGATCGTGATAATGCTTTGGAAGTATCGTATCATGTCAGTTATTGTATTGCTCAACAGGGTGAAGCTTATACGATCACAGAAAAATTAATTAAGCCACTCATAAAAGATGTAGTTACTACCACGATTGGGGAAGAACGTGCTAAATTAGTTGACTGTATCCCCCTTTCGGATATTACAGTTTAAAGGCGTGTTAAAGATATGTCTATTTTTGTGAAAATGAGCTTGTAAGACATTTGCGAGCTTCCGAACACAGATTTACTATTCAACTCGACGAAACTACAGATATAGCTGGATTAACGATCTCGCTTGTTATTGTGAGATAAATCCATGTAATGGCTACTCGAGAAGATATGCTAATTTGCAAAAGTTTGCCAACCAGAACAACTGCGTAAGAAATTTTTAATTTGATAAATTCATATTTCAAAAAGCAAGATATATCTTGGGATTTATGTCATCGAGTACGTATCGATGGAGCCAAGGCAATGCTTGGTAAATTGAATGGCGTAGTTGCACGCATGAAACAAAAAAATCCTCACACGAGAAGTACTCATTGTCGTCTTTGCCGACGGGCTCTCGCAGTGACGAAAATGCCAGAAGAGCTAAAAGACATACGTAATGGTTGTGTTAAAGTGATAAATTTTATCAAATCAAGGCCATTAAATTGAAGAGTTTTCAATTTGTTGTGTGAAAATATGGAAAGTTTATATAAAACACTACTGTTGCGCGCAGACGTCCGTTGGTTATCTCGTGGAAAAGCATTAGCAAGGTTTTGCGAATTAAAAGATGAAATAAGAATTTTCTCATCTGAACACGTGCCTCAATTATCTCAAAAACTAAATGTTGCAGTTTGGATTCAGAAAATGGTATATCTAGCAGATATTTTTACCTATTTAAATGAGCTCAATGCATCGCTCCGAGGAACAAATATCAATATTTTCAAAGTAAAATTGATGCTACTCTTTTAAAATTGAAATTTTGGGCAGTTTGCATTTTGAAAGGAAATATTGAATGCTTTCCTAATTTGCACAATATTTTAGTAGACGGTAATGCCAATCTCGATAAAAATGTAAAAAATAATTTGGTCCAACATTTATAGGATCTGCAAAAAACATTTCGAGAATGCTTTCCTGTTCAAAAAGAAAAATTATCTCAAATTCAAAATCCTTGTCGAGACTGCGATACCTCCGAACTCCCAATAAAAGAAAGAGAACGACAAATTGATATAATGACCGACACTCGATTGAAACTAAAATTTAATCGAATTGATATTATGCATTTTTGGATCTACATTAGGAACGAATATCCTGAAATTGCCAAAAGAGCTGCGAAACATTTAATGTCATTTGTATCGACCTATATATGTAAAAAATCTTTCTCTTTGTATGCTGCCACAAAAACAAAATACAGAAACAGATTGGATGCCGAAGATGACATTAGGTTGCGGATTTCAACAATTATTCTCGATGTAAAAATGCTTTGCGATAAAAAATAAGCGCAGTTGAGTCATTAAAAGAATTTTTTTTTAATTAATTTGTTATAATATAAAATATTGTTCCTTTTGTTAATTATTCATAAAATGTATTCTAGAAAATAAATAAAATAAAACCCGATTCACTACCTCACTATTCGTTGTTTTATTAAGATGTTTGTATTAAGATTAAATAAAGATACAAGAATAATTTTGCAAATTTGAGTAGAAAAAAGCTTTGATAAACTATTTTATCCACTACTTAAACACGAGGTTCCTTCAAGAAAATCCTGAGCTCAAAGGGTTCCCGAAAGTGTAAAAGGTTGAAGGCCCCTGCTCTACTGTATTGCACTTTTTCTTCTACTTGTTTGAATGTTTATTTCATTTGGTCACCTTGTTCATCCTGTTCATCAGTTCATAGCTGCATAACTGTTTTTCTTCTTCAATTATCAACATTCTGCAAGTTTTTTTAAGTGCCTATTAGATCATTTTGTCTGTTTAATTTGTCTGTTAACATTGTATGTCATTTCATGGTAATGTCATCTTCTCCCGTGGCAAGGAGATTAAGTTATATTAAAATTAAGAAATTTTTTTTAATGGCACATTATTATGATAAAATAAAGATACATATGCTAGGATAAGAAAATAAAATTAATTTTGAAAAATGATTTGTATTTAATGTATATTGCATACAAAATATAGATGCAGTGGAGCACAAATTATACATCTCTCAAGAAACTGGACAAAGCATAGCCCATGCTTTATTATTTAAAAATTGAATAAATGTTTTTGTTTGTTAATTATTTGTATTTATTTATTTATTTTTTATATAATAAAATACAGAAAATGAAAGTTTTTTAAACTATGTATGAAAATGATGTCATATAAAAATTATCCTTATATTTTGCTTTGCAAGCAAGCATGGGCTTTTTCTACTGAATTTTCTATAACAGCTGTTAACATATCTGGCTCCAATTCTTGAATTTCTTTCCAAATGTCTTTAAGCTGTCAGATGGTAAGTCTCTTTGCATTACAACAATGGAACACCAATTTTGAAAATAAAATTCAAAGATTTTTATTTGTTGCTTCCATCATGAATTTTACCATAATAAAGGACTACACACCTTTCTTATGGAAAATGGGTTTAGGTGAAATTGGCTGAAAATAAAATATATTGAAGTTTATGAGGTCCTTCCTGGTCAAATGTCCCAAAGGACAAACAGCTCAAAAATGGACAGTGTTTTTGCTATGACTCTCAAAATGTACAGTTTACACAATTTTGTCAGAAGAAATTATCTTTTATAAAAAAATATTTTATTCCTGTAATTGGTATAAATTTTAAAATATCTCAGAATGAAGTGCCACATCATTCTGATTCTGAATAATATAATCACATCATGTATTTACATGATGTGATTATATTAGTGCATAGGTCAGGGGTGGCCAAAATTTTTTCCCCAGGCCGAATTGGAAAGAAAACTTTTTCCACGGGCCAAACTAGAGGCTGCCCTAGGAAGATTTTGAGGTGGTGTGAGATCTCACTGTGGTGTCACCCTGTAGAGATTGAATTGTAGATAGAGATTACAGATACATTTTTCACATCATCATGCTTTATCAACATTCTACACTGTACTTACGACGAGATTTGTAATGGAGGGTTAACTCTAAACACACAGTGAGTTGTTGACTTTTTTTTTTTTTTTAGGCATCAGAATTTTTCATTGAGCTATTCAGACTTTAGTAGTTAATATTGAAAGATTGATCGCAGGCCACATAAATTCATTAGACGGACCAGATCTGGCTCACGGGCCATATGTTGGCCATGCCTGACATAGGTGTACTGTCTATACCCTTGTAATAAAATAAAAAAGACTAATAAAATGGCAATTGGTTTTTAAAAGCAAATTTTTCTGACCAGGCCCATTTACATATATTTTCATACTGTATATCTATGGATAGACTTGTCAAAAATTCAAACAGTTTGGACATCAATGTTAGTCTAATAGCATTTTTGACTAGTTTGAGCAATTCATTTCACTACAGACATTTCTACTGCAACCTATTCCATAGCCACAATATTGTTGGCAAATCATTCTATAATCCATTTCATGACAAAAGATTCAACTGCATCTCAAACCAGAACCCATTCTGCAATCTCAAAAATTACCACAATACATTTCATAAACTCTGCAATCACAAAATGAGAAAACGATTACAGAATAAGTTGTGATTGAAACATTGTCAGCAGAGTGATTTGCAACTGTAGAAAAGGATGTTGTTATTGATTTGAATGCAATACTTGAAATCTTGGGCATTGTACATTTTGCAAACCTGAAACAAGAAAATTGTCCATTTTTTATCATTCTGCTCATTGAAATTTTTTATCGTGACTTCATAAACTTCAACATATTTCATTTTAACCAATTTCACCTAAATCCACTTTTCTTAAGAAAGGTGCATGGTCTTTTCTAGGGAAAAATTTTTAAACTGAAGCAAAAATTTAAGAATATGTAATAGTAATAAAGTTATTGTTTTAAATGATAAAGTGAATTACAGGCCACTCTGTATTACTGAAAAGATATAATTGCAATTTAGAATCATTATGAAATATGTTGGGATAGTTTCAGAAATAAACTTGTTTCGGTAAAGGAACATTCTTTGTTTATACAGTAGACTCTTGCTGTTACAAGATACTATAAATGTATGTAGCCTTTTAAGTTAAGTTTTTCTGTTCTAATATTTTTTAATACACTTTTAGTCTAACAGACTTATTATTCTGGACTTATCAAACACTCAATAAGGAGGATTAATAAATTAACTTAGAGAAATGACTTTATTTTCCAATATTCATTTCAGGTCTTTGAGTCAGTGTATAGCCTTTCTCAGAATTTTTCCACATTATGATCACTTCATACCATTAGCCAATAATCTATAACTATTCCTTCCTCTTTGAGAAATAATACATTCGATTGGGTCAATTTTATACCATTTAATTCTAGGAATGTAAAGAGAGAGGAGTTTCAAAATAATACAAAGAATGTATTCTAGAAATTCTGAGTGCATTTTTTAAAAGAATATTGGGATATTTGTTGTCTTCATTAGAAAGAAAGCAACATATAAATGAAACTTTCATTGTGAATTTAAATATATAAACAGACTATTTCATGATTTTTCAGTCATTGAATAGGAATGTTTTGGGATCAGTATAAAACAATGTATTAATGTGAAACATAAACAGTGCTCCACTGTAATACAAATTTTGTTTATATTAAAATTTAAATAAAATATAAGACTTCTTTTATTTAGAAATTGCATTATTACAAGATAAACTATTTCAATTGAATACTATTATCCAACATCTTGAAGTAACATCAAATTCATGTTTAGTTAATCATCTAGAGGTATGTTATATTTTCTTGTTATATAAAATTAAAAAATTTTTACATTTTACTACTATTTATAATTATCTAACTATAAACAAAATATACATTATTTTTTATTTTAATTTTCTTACAGCTCCCTGAAATGAATCAAAATAATTTAAAAAAAGAAAGACGCAGGTTTCTTTTAAGAAGGAAAAAAAATACTAAGACCAGTCAAAGTAGTCTACAGAGTTCAGGTTTTGGAAAAGCATTAGGAGGAAACAAGAAAGGAAATAAACAAAAAATAGAAATAGTTGTTCTCAGAGATACAAGTGTTAGCAGTAGCACAGAAAATATTAGTGATGTAGCAGAAAATAATCAGTTGAAAAAGGTATTTTATTAAAATAATTTTTAAAAATTTGTATTTAAGTATTTTAAACACAGTCAAACCTTGGGTTTTGTATGCTTTGTATTATGAACACTTTGGTTTACAAACAAAAATTTGAACTCTTTTTTGCCCTGATGCAGAACAAGCTACTTGGCAGAGCTTGCCACAGACGATCAACTTTCTATACTTCTATGTTAAAGAAAGTCAATGGCCTAACCAATCAACAACAGGACTACTGATTCAGAAGTTAGTGGCACTGAGATTATGTCATGTCATGATATGAATCATTGATGATGTTGCTATTAAAATTACATTTTAATGCACATGCAGGAAAGATGCTATTTTCATTTTTTGGTATGCACCATAGTTGAATTTAATCAAATTAATTAATAAAAACTGCATTAATTGGCATTTATGTAATATAAATGGCATTCACAAATTTATGTTGAAGTATGCTTAAGTTAAATTAAATGACAAAAATTTATTAATGTAATATTATATATTATAATATTAATATTTATTAATACTAGATAGCCAGTTAATTAAAACTAAAAATAATAATGAAATTTAGAAATAATAAAATAATAGTTAAAATTGGCCTTTACACTGAAACTTAAAATAAATTAATTTAAATTGAAATCAAATCAATTGAAACAATATTTCAAAAAGTGTAGATATAGCACTTGTCCATCTTGATCAGGGGTCGCCAAAGTGGTCGATATGGACCCCCAGGGGTTGATGCATCATCACTGGGGGGGGTTGATGCAGCTAAGGGGTCACAACCTTTTTTTTTTTTTTTTTTGTTGCCTATACAGAGACCACAACTTTTTTTTTCACTCATACACATACATTTGTAATAAAACTTTATGGTGGGGGTCAATGTGAGGCTTTGGAAAGTGATTGGGGGTAGACGGTTAAAAAAGTTTGGTGACCCCTGACCTAGAGTATTACCTCCATAAGCTTGATTNTGGGGTCAACGGTTAAAAAAGTTTGGCGACCCCTGGTCTTGATTGATTTAGTTATACTGTATTTCATCCAGGCAGTGTTGAGTCTCTGTTTATAGTACCTCTTTGTGCAGTGATGGAACATTTTGCTTTTAATATATATATAATATAATTTTATATATAGTATTATACAGGTATTGCCTTTATAGGCATTTTTATGCATGAAATACAGCTAAAAATAATAAAATAAAAGAAAAGGTTTTGTTTTGGAGGTTAGGAATAGATTATTCCATTTTATATTGTTTCTTATGGGAAAATTTATTTTGGTTTTTGAATAACTTTTAGGAACAAATTAAATTTTAAACCTGAGGTTTGACTGTATTCCTAAATAAATTAATTGATAAGTGATTTATTAGAAAATAAAATAATTTTATATTTTAACATACAATTACTATAATTTCCTGTCAATAACACATGAGTTATCTGTATTTAAAAGTCAGTTTGAAAACAGGTGCAAGTATGTAATGATGCAGCTATCCACTGATATTAATTTCCAGTTTTGAATTTGTCAGTTTTTGTTTTCTAAATTTAGCAAGAACTAGTTTAAAAATGTGAAAACATTTTTTTTTACAAACATATTTATCTGCCATTGTGATATTTCCTGAAACTGCTGAAGGTTTATAAATATGTATATATTAGGGTTTCTCATTTCCCGGTCTTTTGCTTGTCCCGGGATCCCGGGATAAAAGTGAACTGTTTCCCGGGATCCCGGGAAATCCCGGGATAGAATTAATTATTTTTAAGGTATACAAAATATCTTGAAATCAAATGATATAATTATTTTCCATTTTTTAAAGTAATTTTAAAGTTCTGTAACCTCCAAAATCATATTAATAATGCTGTGTAAGGTCTATAGGCCTATAATAAAAATTACCTTTAAATAACGTAGAAATTTTCACAAATAGAAAAAAATTAATTAAAGTTTGCTGGAAACTGCATACAACAACAACAAAAAAAAATGTTTTGAATTGAGTTAAAAATTAAAAAAAATAAACTTCTAATTTAGAAGGTAATTTTCGTTTTTTAAATAAAATATAATACAAAATATTGCAAACTTTTATAAGATTTTAAAAAGCAAAGATGGTCAATACTCCGATAACTCACTCTAATTCTTATTTTAGTAATGAAAAGTCTTGCCACCGAGAATGCCCTTTCCGATTCAATTGATGTGATTGGAATAGTGTTTAATGCATTTAAGAGAAGACAGATATTATGTGTTTTTTCACCTGTAGCCTGGAAGATTTCGAGTTCGTTTTCGAGATTGTAGTACTTCTTTCGCTCTCTAGTATTCTTGATTTGTCTACCTTGGCTGCTTTAATAGCGGCATCAAGCTTAGAGCTCGATAATTCGGCAATTCATTTGGCTTTAATAATCAGGTTTATGAAGAAAAACTTCATACTTGCAGACTTTGTACTCGTTTGTATCCTTGCCCAATTTGCACAATCTGGCGTCAGGCATTTATTGAAGCTACTGGGCATGGTTAAAACTCAAGACAGCGTAAGCACAATTATTCCAGATATTACAGGTTCCGACAAGTAAAGAATTTTTATAGTCCTGCCACAAATAAGCTATATATTGATTATTGACCATTTGTGACATGCTATAACGAGCAAAAATTTAAAAAAACTAATAGGTAGGTTTAAAATTAATAAATACAAATGTATTCTGACAGTGAATGAGTTAATTATGCTTTCTATTTGCAAAATTCCTCAACCTTAACACAAAATAAGAAAAAAAGTGAATTTTTAAGAAATTTGCGGGATTTCCCGGGATAAGAAAAATTTCCCGGGTTAAAAAAACAACCGGGATCCCGGAATCCCGTTTGAGAAACCCTAGTATATATGTATGTACATTAGGGTGGTCCATGCTTAAATAGTAAAAAAAAAATTTTTAGTGGAAGTCATGCTACCCCCTTGTTTTGTTACACCTACCATTCCTATTATGTGTTCAAAATTTCACCCCCTTATCTTATATACAAGGGGGTGCTCATTGACTTTGAAATATCTGAATTTTATGAAAAAATCCTTAAAAAGAACTAGTCAGGATATTAAGTAAAAAACATAAACTATGTATCAAAAGTAAGTTTTTTTTATTCAAATATAGTATTTAAACACATACAAAATGTTATAACAAAGCAATACTTAAAATAATATTAATTACAGCTTTTTTTTCTCAACCTGAAACTAAGTTTGTTAGCACTTTTTTGGATGTTTCAGTAGAAATGATCTTACTGTTCTATTCAACGACATGAAGTAAAAATTGTTTTTCTTCCTCATTCTTAGTGAGTATCGTATTGTAATCTTTAAATAGTTTTACACCCCTCGCCACAGTGTTGTTGACCACATGCAAATTTCTTATGCAACTTTTGCCTTGAAGGTAATCAACATTGTCACCACAAGTCTCAGGAGGTAATTGCAAGAAAAAGTCCTTGATGGTAAAACAACCACAAAATCATCTTCTTGCTTATCTTTTAAAGTTCTATTGGCACTAGAAGTGCTACTGAAGATGAAATCAAGTTCTAGTTCTTAACTTGACACTATTGAAGTTGAAGCATTACTTTTAGCATCCTTTTCTCTTAGTTCTTCAGCTCTTTATTTTCATTTTAGAGAACGTTCTTTGGTCTTTTCCAGCTTCTTGTTAATCGATGTCTTACGCTCACCTTTTTGATCAATGAGAAACTCTCTGTCTTCCACAATTTTGATTAAATTCATGGCGTGTAAATGGTCAATATCAAAAAGTTTGTCTAGCTCTTCTGCAAACAAATGCTCTCTATTTTTCTGCGCTTCTGAATCTCTTGTTTTATTTTTGAAAGCAGCCATTTCTTATGAATTTTTATAAGTTTTTCAACACAGTGATTTGGTTGTCTGGTCGGAATACCAGATTTGCTCCACACCTTTATGACTTATTGAATGAGCATATGTGCAGAATCTTTCATATTTTTTGATTCATTTAATGTGTGGTGATAACAAAGTAGAACTTGCCAAAGAGTTAGAAGTTGGTTAATCCTTACCAATGGCTCAAGATCCCGACATCCAAGTAGAAAAATGTCGTCTTTTTTTGAGTTGATGAACTCATTTTAATGGACTGATTCACTCACAGTCTAGTAAATAAGTATCAAAGTTTTTTACATTCGTCTATAAAACTTTTTAACGGTTGTATTTAAAAGTAGATTCGATTAATTTAACCCGCGAAACTGACCTGTAACAAAAAATCAAGATCAAGCATTTTTCACAAAAATTTCAAAAACAGCACTTGATTGAGCATCCTCTTCCGCTAAAGCTAGCCAACTGAAATTATACAATGCTATTGCTATGAATACATGTTACAAATTTACGAGGTGGCCAAACTGAAAAACAAAAAAAAAATTTTTATGGACCACCCTAATGTACATGCTTTACTTTTAGTCTTCTGTCATTTGTTTCTATGCATCATCCATGTTTTAATTAATGTCAGTAGACATTCATTTATTTTCTAATGGATAAGTAAGTTTACCCAGTAAACACATCATTGGCTGAAGTTTCTGGTAATTTCCCATTTTTTATATAATGATTTTCAGAGAACTAGAAACTATCTTTCAGTTTTATCATATGTTAGTTCTCTACACTGAATAAAAATTAAATGATTTGCTTCTGAACCCATATTCAGAATATTCTTGTCTTTATATCAGATATTCTTGACATTAAAATTTTTTATATTAAATTTTTTCAAGTTTAGTTTAGCTTATATTATTATTACAGTGGAACTTTGCTTAACAAGCACCTCTCATAACAAGTAATTTGCATAACGAGCAAAACAAATTGTAAAAAAAATGACTGACTCCTTTAATGAGTGACAAGAAGAGGGAAAGTGCCATGCTACATCAGTAGTCTGTGTTTAGCACTTGTTCCATTAGCATCTTAGTGTTGCTTATGATCATACATTTTTCCAAACTTGTGTTCAGACATATTACATATAAACATCAACAACCATAGCCCATTATATAATAAACATGCCAAACGATATGCCAAATTCTTGGGCTATGTAAAGGCTATAATTAAATATTAAAAATTACAGTGGTACCTCAGAATACGAACGCCCCAGCATACGAAATTTTCAGGATACGACATGAAATTCGAACATATTTTTGCTCCACGATACGAACAAAAACTCACCATACGACGTTACATTAGTTCGCATTTTTCATTTGTTTTTCTTACTACAGTTATTTTTTTAAATGTATTACTTGGCTTTAATTTGAGTATGTTTTTCGCGTTGGAACGAATTATTTGGTTTTACATGTAATCGTATGGGGAAAAATGATTCACCTTACGACATTTTCATGATACGATCTCAGTTTCGGAATGAATTAATTTCGTATCCTGAGGTACCACTGTATTGTATTTTGATTTTTTTTCCCTGCAAATCAAATTCACATTTTAGGTTGGTTCATTCCATGCTAGAAGAAAAGATGATGATGATGATTCATGCTCTTTAACAATGTATATTGTATAATTTTCTTTGAATAAACATTATACATAAAATATTTGAGTGTTTTTTTCAGCATGGAATACATTATCTTATTTTACATTAATTTATATGGGAAGAACTGTTTCACTTAACAAGTGTTTCGCATTACGAGTAAGATTCTGGAACAAATTATGCTCGTTAAGCAAGGTTCCACTGTGTTATTATTTTTATTATTTTGATGGATTGTGTTTTATTTAACTGATACCTATATCTAATTCTATGCCAAACCAAGGCCAAGGCATTTGTTTATTTTGGGTATGTCTTCTAACAAGAATGAAAATATTTGAATTAAATGTGTCTGTAATGGCATTGGTTATAATTATTGTGTTTATATTTCCATTGGTTGGTGGTTGTTTTGTGTATGTTTTCATTTGTGACTATTGTTAAAATATTGTAAATGAGTGTTTGATTATCAGTGTGATCTAGTATTTCTGTGCATTAATTATATATGGTGGTTATAATTAAACAGGAGCTGTTTAAAGCTTTGTTTAGAAAAAACTAATGAACCAAATGAAACCATATTTGGTGTACATACTTTCACAGATGAAAAGTTTAATTCAAAAATTTTTTGATAGGGAGAAATTTGGCACTAATATCACTGAAATTTGAATATTAGCTAGGTTGTCAAAGAAATTCAGGCAATACAGAGAAGTTGAGATACAAAATGCAATGATTTTATTGAATTTAGTGTGACAGAATTTGTAATATTTTGAATTGTGATTACTATATTTTTTTGTTTAAATACTGTGATTCAGTAAATTATATTTTGAATCTTTGTAAGTATTACTACTTTCCTTGTAAAATGTTGGCTTGAACTTAGGACACCTAAACTTGAATTACAGTGTATTTGGAGTTTATAGTATTTAAAATTCTAATTTACATGTATTTTGAAAATCTGGATGGGTCTCCTTCCCAATTAGTCTGGGGTTTTGACACTTTACTGTATTGGCAAAATGAAAAGCTCAAAACTTTCTAGTAAATAGCTGAATAGCTCAATATTTCAAGCTTTAGTAAAGATGCAGCAATGAGTTGCACTTTATCGGCAAAAGAGTTATAAAAATTAAACAGTTATTCTTAGTATCAAATTGAGTCTAAGAATACTGTTTAATCAGTTGTCATGTATTAAAGAATGTTAAGGAATATGATAGTGTTATTACAGTATCTGCCTATCTTTTAGTAAAAATTAAGTTTTCATTCAAAATTGTTTAGAGGTTGAAAATATAATTAAATGGGTAGTGAAAAATATTATAATGCATCATTTTTTCAAATTATGTAAATAAATGTAATTGAATATAGAAGATGACATTGAACCCTGATGACATTTCAAATAGCAATGTCATCAGGATAATTTCATGTTAAAAAGAAAAATCGCAAAGTAACATTTCTTATTTTTTAAAATAAAAAACTAGTTTTATCAGTGTTGTGGTACACCAGTATATTTTTATTTGTCCATATATATTTTATATATGTTTATATATTTTCTCTTCCTTCCTTCCTTTGTTCTTTGTTCTTTTGTATACAACTTTCTGGAACTTTCTTCCAAGTGTGGGTGGTGGGTGACCTGGTTAGGGGACAAAGGAAAGGTATAGCCCAGAGGGCAAAAGAAGAGACACTTAAGGCAACTTTTTGCTCGGAACGTGGAAGAGAGAAAACACATTTTTGCATCGACTGGAGAAGGTAATGAAAAGTTTGAAAAAAAAGGTCCGAGACCCAAGAGGAAAGGAGTATCTTGAATTAAGGACATCTGAAGGGCCAAGTGGAATATTGAGCGACTTTCACATACAATCGGTCCCCACAATCCTGAACGATATCATCCAACCACCACCACTTCGATCTCCAACTATTGGGTACCCATTCTTGCTTGACACTATATTTCTACCTATCCTATTATCTATCCTTTTCTCTTTTTCCTTTATTAGAATAAGTAGTAGTTAAGTTATTGATAAGTATTTCTTTGTATCGCAATATTTTTTTTGTTATGCCTGTGGATCCGAAAAGGTTTTGTTTTGAGCAAAAAAGGAATTAGGAGTGTTTGAATTCGGAAGATCTTGTCAAGTGTTAATATACGAGTAAAATAAAAGAATGTTTTGTTATTTTAATGTATGCATCCCTTTGTTAAATAAACCTCACTATATGCATATGACCACATCAAAAACATGTAACCAGATACAGGCATGTATTTGACAAATTTTTCAACGTTATTATCTTGTTTGTTGAGACACTTATCATAGATGTCAAGTAATTGGGTAAAAAAGATGAAAATTTATCCTGCAAACATATAAATTAACATTTGACTTCTTGGACATTATTACTGGACACAGTTTGCATTTCACATGTTTGAAAGTTAATAGAAACATCATTATCCACTTATTCTATTGTAATAATGAAAGAAATTTAAAATCAAATTATTTTTAACAGTTATTAATAAAAGCAATTAGTTATTAATTAATTGAGGCAGGGTATTAGTGAATCCTCTGTGACTTACAGAATTGTGTTTGTTCTCAAAATTTGATTGATTGATTTTGATTAAAATTTGCCACTTTCCATTAATTACAATGAGGAATCCAAAAAATAGAGTCCATGACTTTATTTTCAAGATACAGTGTGGTCAAAATGACAATGTCCTTGGTACCTGGTGTGATTGAGCATACCTAAAGGAATTTAGGGAATGAAAATAAAACCAAAAGTACTGCACATGCCTAATGGAAAATTGTGCCAAAAACGAAAAAATACAAGAACAAAGCAATCAACACCAGCAAATGTAAGGATCACTTCTCTCTGATCAACAAGTAAGGATTACTTCTTGTGTGGCCAGCAACTGTTTTCTTTTGATTACACACTCAAACATGTGCCAGTATTCAGGTTAAATGGAGTGAAAGATAATTTACATGTACTAATATTAATTAAAATACTTTAAATTACAAAATTGAAATGAAACATTTCAATTTTGTCTTGATACAACAAAATTGCACAATTTTCCTAGTTTTATTAATTTATTATATTAATTCATATTAATCTTTTTATTAATAATAATAAATTATGATGATGATTGATAAACAAATCTAATTTAGTATTAATATAATCAAACAATATCAAATTATATTAAGACCTTTTCTGTCATTTTATTATTAGGTACCATCTGGTTTATCTATAAAAGATTCTGCTCACTTAAGTTGTTCTAATCCTTCTCTAGTCAGAGATGCAGAATTTAGTCGACCACATAGCCTTCCTGATTCTTCTTCTATGTTAAATTGTGCCCTAACAGATTCTGCATCCTCGTGTTCTCAAAGTAGTCTTCAGCATAAATATCAGGAAGAATTTTTATGTTTGGCAAAAGAAGGTTAGTAAAAGTTTTAGTAAGTTTTGACAAAAAAATTATAACAACTTCTATTTAATATTTTTTACTAAAATAAAAACCAATCAATAATAGAATACATTACACTGTAAAGTACTATATTATTTTTCTGCCCTCTACAACGATTATTGACACGACTGTGTGCCGGAAATAGCCGTTACCTAACGGGTACTTTATGCAGATTCGCGTTAATGTGCCAGGCCTGGACTTTAAGCGTGCACCGAATTAAATAATGACAAAGTTTGTCAATAACAATCAAATATTTAATAAATTTCTAGTAATAACTATATAAAAAATTTAATAAAAAATCAAATAACAGTTTACTCAACATAAATCAATAAGAATCAGCCTGACAAAACTCAAATCAATCTATTTTCTAACTTAACTCTATTCCCCTTTGGAATTTGACAAAATTCAAAGACTTAACTTATATACAATAATTCTTATGAATTAAAGATCCTAATTGTCACCTCAATATACTAGGAACCTTTTTTCTCAACTCTCAAGGCTTTCTCTAATCTTCGATCCACAAATTGAATAACTTCAAAATTGCCTTGGAACTACTTTATCCTATCAGATACCTCTCATTTACTGCTATGAAGCTCACAACACTTGTTGCTAACAGAAGCTCACCTCGCTTGTCTTCACTTGAGGTTCAGTCTGTATACTGTGAGGTGACGTCACAATTCTGAGTGAGATCATTCCCCTCATTTACATACTTATTGGCTAACAATAAACTTTCTGTTTGTCTGGCAGCTTACTTTCCGACAATACTCGCTAACCTTTTACATTATTCTTTTTTACAATTTTTGGGATGTTTTTATTTTTTAAGGTTTAGCAAGGTCCTAAGTTATGCTTGTGGGGTCTCCCCCCTTTTCTCGGTGCGGACTTACTTTTTTCCGCTCGGGAGCCCAAGTGTGCATGAGTTTTAACTATGGCGCTTTTTCTCGTCGGTGAGTTGGTTTCTCTTCTATTTTTAAGTTTCTAAGGTGAATGGTGTGGAAACCTTCGTCCTAACAAAACATAAGCCCCAAACAAAAATAGAATAATAAGCAAAATAAAAGTAAATAAAAATAATGCTTGGACTTGGTTCCTTACACCACACATATAATAACAGATGTAGATATGCATTTTGAATAATTTGTACATATTATTTATTACAATACACAAATTATTTGTAGCCCATGACAAATTATTACAAATATTAGTAGATCTATGAAAGGATCCCATATAATCTTTACAGGTATTGACTCTCAGGGATTTTGGCTGAAATTTTAGTATGTTATATTTCTTGACTAACTGATGAAAAGACTCAGTGATGGACACAAAGCTTTGTGTCCATCATTGGATGGTTTTTTTATTGGATGTTTTTTGTTAGAGCTGTTGGAATATGTTGGAGGTGTAAATACATGATGGCAAGAAAAGTCTCTCCCTGGCCAATTATTTCAAAAAGTAATAGATCAATCACTGTAGATGAAAAATGCATACTATTACCTTTTAATCCAATCCTTCTAAATTATCAAATGATATTCTGGAATAGACTTCAAATATGACAAGTAAATTCTTTACTGCACAACACACAGGTTGTGGAGTGAAGTATTTGTATTTGTGTTATGCAATGTATCATTGCATAACACAAATACAATACGGGAGTGGCTGAATGTGCAGTTAAGTTATCAATGATTTGAATATGAAAATTATTCAATATAATAGAAAATATTAAAACACCATTAAATAAAACAGCACTAATGTGATCATCATAACACTACTAATTTAAACTTAATCATACAGTCAATCACTTTTGCATTGCATGTTGTGTGTTGTGCTACAAAGCATTTTCTTGTTGTATTTGACAGCCTGTTCTAGAATCCCATTTGATATTTCAGAATGGAGTAAAAGGTAATTGTATGTATTTTTCATTTAGTGATTGATCTATTACTTTTTAAATAATTGGCTATGGAAAGACTTTTGTTACCAACTCTCATGTGTTTGAATTAATCTAGAAAAAACTAGCCTTTTTCAAGCTCTGAGCCCATTGAGATTTATCACCATTTAGTCAAGAAGTATAACATAACACTAAAATTTCAGTCAATTTTAATATATGTTTACAACCTTAGAATATGTAAATTATAGCTAATTGAATGTGTTTTGAGTTTTGAGAGTGGAAAGGAATTCATATTTTTCAACAAATAATAGTTATACTTATGTATCAATGTAAAAATGAATGTCTTGAAAATGTGGGATTCCAACATAAAGTATTTGAGTAATGTAAGAAATATTTCAATTTTTATTAGTGTTTTAGTATTATGAGATATTGTGTTTGTACATGAAGTAAGAATTGAAGGTTTGAATTATGTCATGGAATATTGTTTTCTCAAAATTTAACTAAATTAGTTAATTAATTCTTAACAGATGGAGATATATTTAGCCATAATAATGATTATGTTACTCAGTTTTTTTAACTATTTTGTTAAAAATCTGAAATTAAATTAAAAGTATTTAATTTAATCAAACATTTAAAATTACAGTCAAACCTCTCTAATATGATACCCATTACAGTGATAAACCCCAGTACAGTGATAGAACTTCTACAGTCTTAGCTGAAGTCCTATACAAATACTGTAATTTTTTACCCACTACAATGATAGTAAAAACTGTGATACAATGATACAATTATTGGGATGTGTTGGCATAACCTGCAGCAACACATTCCAATAGTTGATACAGTAGACCCCCTATAACGCTTAGATACGTTCCACGTTATTTGAATTTTACGTTGTAGGAATCATTAAATACATGGGCCAATCACAGCCCGACACATGAGAAGTTTATGGACTAAGGCTGTTTGAAAGGTTTTCTTCTATAAAATTAACTGATTCTAGACTAATTCCACTCAACATTTCCAAAACACGTATAATTTTTCGGGAATAATCCGTATAAACTATGCTATAAACAAAAAATTGTAGGATTACTGAGTGTGCACCGTTCAACTACAGCGTTGCTCAAGCTTGTTTTTGTCGTGGAACAGCGCACGAAATGGCGGTTGTGATTTCTGATAACGAATTTTTTGCAGAAAAATAACTTGACCTTTGGAAACATCATTAATATAAATAATTTTTATGGCCGTTGAATAAGAAATGTTTCTTTCACAAGAAATGTATAAAATTACAGTACTGTATTAGACTTACGGTACCTAATTTACATACTGACAGACGATAGTTAGCGTAAAAATCTCCGTAGCGTGGCGCCACGCTAGACGGCGGAAATTATATATATAATTATAATAAAGTTACAATAAGTTAATATATAATTATATATACAGTACCTAATTTATATATAATGCTGTACAGACGATAGCAAACTCAATTTAGCTGCCTAAACTCTCTGTAGAGTGGCACTGGGCGGCAGAAAGTAGTTCGGCTGCTTGTCCACTATTGGTCCAGATTCGACCAATCTTGTCGCGACAGGAGTCGGCGACGACGTTTTACGAGTCACTTTATACGAATACTGCTACAATTTTTTCGCTACGTTATAGGAATTTCCGTTATAGGAACCCACGTTATAGGGGGGTCGACTGTATAGATGCTTCATTGTAGTGACCAATGCAAGAACCACACAATAAAAAGCTAGGTGCATCTACTTGCTAATCATGTTATCTGTGAACTCTCCTTGGTTACAGAATGGTTGGCATTGCAAACATTGTCATTGCCTAGACAATGCTACTATGAGGAACTGCAAGTGCTTAATTTTTTAAGCATTTCCTTTTCCTGCAAGATAAGAGCTCTAACTAGTGGTGAAGAAGGTGGTGGTACTAGCATGTAGTGGAAAAAAATGACAAAAGCACAGAACAGAAACTGATAAATTTGGAAATAAAGCTAGAAACTTTCAAAGATATTGATAGTAAAATGAAACAAACAGAAGTTGCAAAGAAGTATTGCTTTTATTCAGTCAACCCTACCAATGTTTTTAAAGAAATGGAAGGCAGTCAAGTGCATTGTAGTGGTGGAAATAGATTCTTCTCAGAAATGTCTGAAGACACCTAATTGTGAAGATATCAACTGCAATCTTCCATTAATTTATTGAGATGTAGGCACAGAATATATTTAAACTAATCTTCATTTTCGTAATGACTGAGATCATTAAGAAAGTTCTTAAATTGTAGCGAGGTTTGACTTTATTATAAATTGTGTAATCATCTTGTATAAAATTAATATAAAAATTAGTAATGTAGTGAAAAATAATTTTTTAAATAGTTTCTTTTTAATTTAATTTTAAGGGTTATCTATAATTTTTATTAGATATTTAGAATTCATTAAATAAATTTTTTATAGTTCACAGTGGACTGCGATCTATGTTACGTTCATTACACACTGAACGTGAAAGATTGAAACAGATACTTGAAAATGAAGGTCTTCCAAGTGAAAGTGGCAGTGGATCACTTATCACTACGCTTAAAAATTCTTTAAATCAAGTATGTTTTTTAAATGATTAAACTTATTATTTTTCTTATAAATATATTTACTTTTCTTAACTTAAACAATATAAATCTTCACAATTACTATTGCTATATCAAGATTTTTAACTGTCATGACTTCTCTTCTTCAGTCTTTTCTTTTTTGGACTAGATTGATCCAATTGCTCTCATTTCTGCCAATTAGTTTCATAAAAGTTTTCACAATAATAAAATTAATAATTAATATGCTTGTTTACTCACTCACTCACATTTTGCTATTAAAATTGTTGGTCCAAAGTAAAATTGACTATACAGGAAAGTCAACATTTTACAGTTTTTAATGGCTATTGATATATATCAGATTTGTTATAGTAGAAAATTCAAAACTGTTTTTAATTTTTTCATATCATTTTTACATGTAAATTCCCAACTACATTTAAATTACAATAAATAAATAGTATAAATAGAAAATTGTTTATTGTTAATTATTAAAGTACATGTTCATTTTAATTGTATACAGTTCACAATATTTGTGTCCTTAAAATAGTTCATTATATAAATTTTTACAAAATGAAGATTTACAATAGTGATTTAAGCTGGAAAATTCAGGTTTGAGCTTAACTCCAATAGAGCACAATAGTTGAAACAAGTATATGTAATAGGTGTCATAAACTATGATAAGAAATAAATGAGTATGAATATATTTTTTTTAAGATGTACATCGTCTTAGAAAAATCTTTAATGTAAAATTTAATCATAAACAAGGTTGAAAATCTAAGTAATCTATTTAGTGTAAGTTGAGATATACTGCAATCTATTTTTGTCAATACTTTCACTTTCTGCTGTATAGTAAGTGTCTACTTTTTTATTTTGTTTCCATTTGATCCAGCACTGTATTTTTGACATGTCGTCTTGGTTTTTCTCTCCATTATTAGGACTGTTAGATGAATTGAATAAAAATACTTTGTAAAAATCAGTTCAACTTTTCAAAAAGGTTATAAATAGTTTATAACTAGGAACTATGAACTCTGCATTTCACAAATCAAAGGTAAGAAGAATTAGAAAGCAACAGGGAGTGATGAAATCTTCCAGAATTAATACAATAAATTAATTTTTAATTATTAGAATGATAAAATTTTAAAAAGATGAATCATAAAAATTTCTTTAAAAATATTTTTATTTTTTATAATTCTAAATAAAGAATTTGAAAAATGGATTTATGCAATGAATTCATTATAATAAATTTCTATTAATATTAAATCAGTGTTTACAATCATGAGATGACTATGTTTTAGACCAGTGTTCCCCAATTTTTTTATCACTGCAGACCGATCGTTTGATAGTTTGCTGCGGCCCGCTGAGGGGGGACATTGATTGTTTATATTTTAGATTGTTTTGATTTAATAATTTTAATTTAATTGTATTTAAACATGCCTTCAAAATAAAATACAGTTACACCAAAAGGAGAAATGTACAATTATGA